CGATTCTGATCAATTTCTTGTTAGGTAAATGTTAGTGGGAACATCAGAAGAGTTCATCAAGAAGACACAACATGGTTTCTAATTGAGGAGAAATCAATGAAAATTATGTTTTGGAAAGAAAAAAATGAAGTTGAAGACCGTCACCAAGTTAGATGCATATTTATAAGAACCAACTCAGAGTTGATCAGGCCCAAGATCCCGGCTTCATCCACACATTTAACCTAATACGTAATAGCCGTAGAAAAACTTGAATTATAACCTGTAATAAGGATAAGATATTCACCCTTGTTCTAGGTTTATTTATCACTTGGAAATTTGCAGTAGCCCTTGACTGGGAAGTTTCTTTACTCTTTTTTTAATACCTAATAGTTTATTTGGATACGCGGTTGGCTACGTGTTTCTAGAATTTTGGATTTTTATATTTAAAAATATTTTGTTTTAATATAATGATATAAAAATAAAATTTTAAAAGTGAAAAAATATTTTAAAAAGTAAATGTTATAATAATAATAATAATTTAATTACATTTAATGTGGAATCCATAGAAGAAATTTGTGGGAGCAATAAATATAGTATAATTAATGTTTGATTTTGACCTGGCCTTTCAATTAAGTTAAACATGGACCGCCAATGGTCGACGTAGCTAACATGTAACCAAGGGAACAATAATCCACTGCTAAATTATCACTTGCCAGACCACCTCAGTGTTTAATATTCATACGAAAAGACTTATTTAAGAAATGAAGGATAAGAAGGACGTCCATTCTAACATAATCAATTGACAATGATATCATACCAAGGGAAAATTATGAAAGTTGAGGGAATTTTCACCTATTTAATAGTATTTGTGTTATACAATAATATAAATTATATTTTATTAATTTATTTAAAAAATTATAAATACTAAGAAATTTTCAAGATAAAAAGGATTTTTGAGCTTTCTAAATGTATTCGTGTTATAAAATAATATAAATTATATTTTATTAATTTATTTAAAATTTTAATTTATTAAATTAAATATAAAATTTCTATTACTTATTATTTCAACGCAAGCTATAATAATAATGACAAAACAATATTCATGCATTTTTTTTAAAAAAAATATCTCAATTTTCTCTCTTTATATCAAATCCTTTATGACACTAAGATTTGTTTTTCCAATCACTTATTATTTTAAGTTATTTTCATCATTTCTCATTTCAATTTAATCAAAAATTCCTAATTCCCCTTAATTTTTCTTATGAATTCTAAATCTAATTAAATATAACATATGAAATCAAGCTTAAAATCCTTTACTTGTTGATAAAGTAAGTTATGATCTTTAACCAATTGAATTTTCAGTATTCTTTCTTTTTTCTTTCCTCACTGGTTCTCAACCCTTTTTATTTTTCAAATTTCTTTACTTATTTTTAGTTTATTCTTGCACTTATGTTGTTTCCCCACTACCTAGTCTAATCTCACTCAAATACCCTTCAGTTTGGATGCATTTTCTCTCAATTTTTAGTGTAAAGATTTGAAACCTTCCCCCTCTTTTCTTCTCTATGCAGCCGTCTCTAAAAGAGTAAGATTTGGGGTTCTTATAGCATTAACTCGAGGCAATTACACATTAGCCCCATTAGTTTAGTTATTATTTTATTTTTGCCCTATCTTTTTTTTTTATAGCAACTTGTGGTGGTAAATATATTCTTTTGTTTCTTTTAATTACAATGAATGAAGTAGCAAGAAACTCCATCAACGAGACTGAAGTTTAGTGCTGCTTTCGTGTAAAAGTAAGAGAAACAGGGTTTTAAGTCGGAGTGTCATTCTCCTTTTTTGTCAAGTGATAGTTAAATAAAACAAAGAATTGATGATAAAAAAAAAAAAAAAAGAAAAAAAAGTATGAAGCATAAACTTGGAGTGGCCATTTGTACTCCGACTTGAGCTTGTGTTGTGTATTTTCAGTTTGCTCCATTTACTGCTAGTGTTTGTTTGGGCCCTTAGCTAGGTTGAGGACTTCACACTGTTGTACTATGGACCTCGTAGGCACCTCTGCCTAAGGTTGGGTGTGATGGTGTAATCGTGGGCTAGGTCATAGGTCATTTAATTGAACGAAATAAAGATAATGACTTTTTGTATTTTATTTCAGAACCCAATTTGTTTGTATTTTGTAACTTTTTTTTTTCCACCAATGATCTTCGAGCAATTTTCGAAAACTGAACCTAATTATCCCTTGGATCGGATATTAAACGAGCCATTTTTATACAAATTAGTATTCATGAAGAGAAACTGAGATCCTATGTGGTAACTATAAGGGTTAATTAACAATATGAGTGAAACAAATCTTTCATAAACAAATTCTTGGGATTTACACAGAGTTGGAGTTTTGTCCTTAATTTATTGTTTTAAGGGTTGATTTAACTTTCTAAAATGGTAGATTTTAAAGCCAATGTGCATATATATTGGTTGCGCTTTGACCCGTATAATACGATTTATAATTATTATAAATTAACACCAAAAAATCCCACTGGTATAATGACTCCACAGCTATAAACCGATCATAGAATTTCAAGAGCTGGATCAGTACAAGCTTCTTCAAGCTGGGAGAAGAGAGAGGAGCAAAACGATGTGGTCTGCCCATGAGAACTTGTTGGGAATAATTACAGTACAAGTATACTCTAACTTTTAACATACTAAAATAACTTGAGAGAAAAGGTTTCCTCTAAGAATGAAAAGACAAATAATAATAATAAAAAAATCTCTTTGTTATCTCTTTGTTATCTTGTACCTAGTTCGAATAGTTGGATGGAAAATTCTTGATTAACTGTTTTGAAAGAAAAAAAGTATATTGGAAGGAAAACAAAATATTTGATTGAGAAAACATTAAAAATTGGTAATTCTTTTAGTGCAATTATCCCAAGAACTTCTTCGGAGGAAGCAAATGACCAAACATTAGTTGGTGAAGTGTTACCCTTACAATTGTGATATGGAACTAGTGTTGGTAGTTTAGTTTTACTAGTTAGGAATAGAAATTTTATAATATAAACATACAAATTTAAATTTTAAATTATTAATTTATGAATATTACTTGGAAGATGATAATAAATATGGAAATTTTATGAGTAACTAATATATATATATTTATATATTAATGCAAATATAAATATTCTAATTGATCATGATTATTTTTCTTTTAAATTATTATATAGGTTCATCTCAATACCACGCCTCCTAGTAATTTCAGAATTTATTTCTATTATAAGTAAATCTTTTAAAAATATAAATTATTAATTATAACATTACTATCTATATATTTTAAAGATTATAATGTTAAGTATGCAAGAATTTAAATTGACTAACTTATTTAACTTGTATTCTGTTGTGTATATATTTTCTAATTATAATGATGATATATATAAACATGTAATTAATATTATTTGTGATAAACAATATTTAAAAGATTATATATGATTAAAGGAAGTATATTAAATCTATAATCTATGGTTTGGTATCATAATTGAGATAATTCTTTCTTCATTTCAGCAAAATAATTTTTTGCTGAATTAATATGTTAAAGAAAGTAAAATATTATTGATTAAGATATGTTGGAGTATAATTAAAATATTAAATTGTGAAAATGGTTGATTAGGAACTGATGTTGATTTTGTCAATAACTTGAGATAGGCTAAATTAGGAGAAATCTTGCAAAAATTTTTGAAAAAAAATCATGAATTTTCAAAATATATTATTAGAAAATTTTGGGGTTGTTAAAATAGGTCCATTGGATTGTTCCAAAGCGTTGAAGAAATTATATGAAATGTTACTCATCATTACAGACTACATTATTGACAAACTAATTTTATAGGAAAGTTTCAGAGAATTTAAAAAAAAATTACATGATTTTACTACTGATAATATGTAAATCATTAACGGTTTCAATCCATTAGTAATATAAAATAAATTATTAATAAAATTATAAATGATTTTATATGTCTATAATATGACCACCTTATTGATAGAATTACAGACAAAATGATAGTAATTATTGATAATTATAGTACTAATAGAATGACTAATTAAATAAAAATCATCTATGATTGATTTTTATCATTTTATTAATAGTAATAATTTATAATTATGGTGGTAAATATTTCTATAAGAGAATCAATGTTTACACACAGGTGAAACAATCCATAAGTAATTATGAAAAATTCTAGTAGCGTAAACATTCATTAAAAAGAATTCAAAAAGAGGTTAAGAATTTAGAAATTAAGTGTAAATAAATTATTTTTCAAAAAAAATAGAATTAACCTAACCCCTATATAAATAATGAGAAACTAATTTGGCAATCTAGTTATTAAGTGTTAATAAATTTAATTTCAAACAAAAATACTAAAAAAAATAACCTTTCAACTTTTCAAAAAAAAAATATTCAAACTATATATATATATATATAGACAAAATTACATCCAAGTTCACAAAAAAAAATGATAAAAATATTTATGTTTTTAAAAATTATTTTTTTAATTTTTCATTGTATAAAAACACAATACATTGGGTTCACCCGTAACTCAAATAACTTAAGATGTAAGTTGGGCTGGATTTTAATAAAAACAAGAGGGAATTAGTCTAATAAAACCTGGTCAAAAAACAAAGTTAACTTTGCATAATCAGTTTTGGAAAAAACAATCAAAATTAATTGATTTTTTTTCTTTTTAAACCGAGTTAACAAGGTGAATCACGTGACCTCAGACTTGGAACTTTTGCGACTGGGAACCTCGTTTATCAACCTCCAAGTTAGATAAATGTAATTTCCTATATATATATATAGAATTATAGCTTGAATATCATGAAGTTTTCATTTTTAAAACTATTAAATAATTATTCGTTAATTACACCGTCACTAAAAATTCTTTAATCATGTTGCATCGTCTTGCATGAATGACCCCACGAAATTTGTTTGTGTTTGTTAATAGATAAAAGGCCTATTCTCCCACGTATATAGAAAGAAACAGCCCTTCATAGACTCGTTGAGATGAGAGAGACAAGAGTCTTGTTTTAAGCTCCCGTTAATTTCATAACCAAGGGCTTAGATTTGCCTCCATATCCCCTGCCTCTCTTTCTCTCTCTGAGACCTTGTCTAGACATGGGAAGAACAGCAAGCTCTTCACTTCTCTTAACCTTCACATTCATCGTCTCTTTGTCATCTCTCACTTGTCCTTCACTTTCAGCTTCCACAGATGCATTTGTCTTTGGCGGCTGCACTCAACAAAAATATGTACAAGACTCACCTTATGAGTCCAACCTTAATTCTCTCCTTACTTCTCTTGTCAACTCAGCTACGTACTCTTCTTACAACAACTATACCATTATGGGGTCAAGCCCACGAGATGTTGTTTACGGGCTTTACCAGTGCCGTGGTGACCTGTCAATGCCTGATTGTGCCACATGTGTCGCCCGTGCCGTGAGCCAACTCGGTGTTTTGTGTGCTCAGACATGTGGCGGAGCATTGCAGCTGCAAGGTTGTTATGTAAAGTATGATAATGCAACTTTTTTGGGTGTGGAAGATAAGACTGTGGTACTGAAGAAATGTGGACCTTCGGTTGGGTATGATACGGATGCTATGAACCTAAGGGATGCAGTTTTAGGGGGGCTGGCTAGAACTGGTGGGGCTTATCGGGTTGGCGGGTCAGGTGATGTCCAGGGTGTGGCCCAATGCGTCGGTGACTTGAGTACCGGAGAATGTCAGGACTGTTTGTCGGAGGCGATCATGCGGCTGAAATCCGACTGCGGCACGGCGGATTATGGTGATATGTTCTTGGCCAAGTGCTACGCTAGGTACACCACCGGTGGGCCTCATGTGTATACCAAGTCTCATGGTGGTAAGCATGGTTTCAAATCATGACTAAGGGCTAGTTTTTATACGTATTTCACCATATTTCAAACTTTGATTAGCCACAATAAGCATAAAAGTTTTTGTACTGTGGTCAACCAGAGTTTAGAATGTATAGATAAACACAAGCTAAATTTCTTCGAGGAAAGTACAAAATGTCCATGGGAGAAGTGAAAAGTTTCAAGATTAGAATGTTTTGAAACGAGAGAAGTGATTGGATTGCAATTTTGTTTTTTGTTTACCATTTCCAAAAGCAGATAAATCTACCAGTGATGGTGAGAAGACATTTGCAATAATTATTGGACTCTTGGCTGGAGTAGCACTGCTCATTATTTTTCTTTCTTTCCTTAGAAAGGTGTTCGGAGGAAACGGTAAAATCCCAACTCTTCTTGCCTTCAAATGTTCTTTTTTTTTTAAGGTGTTCGGAGGAAACGGTAAAATCCCAGCTCTTCTTGCCTTCAAATTTATTTATTTTTTTTTATTTTTTCCTGACTGCCAATATTGTTTCCCATGCATGCAGGTAAATAAATTAGCCCAATTATTTCAAAGATCTTGGCATGGCACTCAATCTCAGCCGATCTACTCCTGGTGCTTCTTTTGCTTTGCTTTCCTTTCCTTCATGATGTCAACTTTCCCCCCCTCTCTCTCTACGTTCCCTTTTGAAGATTTTCTTTCATTTTACTCTCAAAAGGGAGGATTGAGCAAAAGAGGTTAGAGGGGGAGTGGCATGCATCCAAAAAAACAAAGTTGGGAAAAAGGGTATAAGGGGAGCTAAGATCCCACTCTCCTCTCCCACTTTTGATAAAGTTGTATTGTCCTAATGTGAAAAGATTGGCATATTCCTTTGTAAAGGTGAAATAATAATGACTGTCTTTTTAGTACTTTGAATAAGTCTTTTCCATGATTCATTTGTGATTGTCTATCAATTACAGAAGGGCAACTCTTGTTAATTTGTGCCACTTTGAATGTCAAGCGTGAGAAAGAAAACCATGTTCATCTCGAAGAACAGAAAGTTCTAGCTCTATTCAAGATTCAAGAACGAAGTGATAATTAAGAGAAACAAAAAAAAAAAAAAGGGTTTCTTTTAATTGAATTTGATGCTTCTTAAAATCTGGAGTCACCACAACTTTGAATTTTGACAGATTCAGGTGATTGAGAACACTTGACTCTGTTGTTCCTAAGCCAGAACATATCAGTTTTCACTTTTGTACTCAAAAGAGGCAAAACTTCATTATCATTCCTAATGTTTTCAATTTCACCCCCAATCTATTAGAAATTGAACACTGTTACCCTTGCATGGACATGAAATATCGATGCAAAAAAAAAACTATTAAAAAAAGTTTCAGATGGATTCGATAAGTGATATCTGCTTAAAGTATGAAGGCAATCTAACAGCATTAAACTCAGATTGATTTCATAATCTGAGCTATTCACATGTACTCAGGAATTATTCTTACTTTCTCTCAGCCCCAAGCAATTTGTTCCCTGCATTAATGTTCACCATGCTGTACATGTCATGGAAGTGCTTGATGGATGCCATACCTTATGGCAAGTCCTGCTGCGGGCATCATTCTTTTGAACTTCTGTAGACGCAGCTCTTCTTTTCAAATCTGTGTCTCTTTACTTTTTAAGTAATTTACCTACTTGCTTCCATATGAAGAAGATTTTTGTGTGTGTGATTTTAGGGAAAATTGGATCTGGAGCTAAAAGATTTCACCTTTTTCTCCAAACTAAGCAACTTTAAAGAATTTCTCAAAAGAAAAGTTGAAAAAAATTACTTGTTTAAAAACTACTATAAAATAAAATCCAGAACCTAGTACACTTTTTTAAAATTAATTATAAGAAAGATATTTAGTTGAATTAATTATAAGAAAGAAGAGAGTACCTTTTCAACCAAGTTTTAATTAATTCCATAGGAATCATTACTTGGATTTAGTTAATGTACATTTAACTAATCACATTAGTAATTTTAAAGTTTGTTGCATCAACCAATCCAATAATTTTGATCTTCATAAATCCACCCCAGTCCATGAAACTTTTTTCCCAATTTCACCAAAATGCACCACCTTAAGAATTTAAAAGGAAAGATCCATAAAAAAAAATTAAAAAAAAAACTAATCTTATGATTGCTTAAAAGAATAGCTATCAATCAATGCCTACATTTTACTCAACTCAACTTTGTACGAAAGAACACTGTTGGGGTTTAAAAATATAGGTCAAACCTTCATGTGTTGGAGAGGAAATTAACTCTCTTAATTAGACCAAAGAATATGAAAATCCCACCATTATCAGCTACATTACCGAGGGATTAATTGGTACCAAGTCGAAGGGATAGCTTTAATTTCAAACTTTTCCTCTTTGCCACTTTGCAAAGCATGATAGCTAGCACCATAGTGGACTACATGTAGGCATAATTTGGAGACAAACAAAGGCAAGAATTATGCAGAATATACTGAAATCCATCATCCAGTGCTGCTTTTTAGCCATGCATGATCATAAAGATCATATAATTAAGAATGTTAAGAGGTTTCTTTCATTTAGATGGGACTTCGATTAGTCATATTGCTGAAAGCGTGGCTTGACATCCTGTAAGGCAGCAAACCCTTCGGCCATGCTCTTTATTCTTTATGTGATCATGGTTTCCATTGCCATAACTTTATAATCAAAGACATTATCCAAATGAGCAATCATGCAATTGCTTTGAATCTCACGTTGGGCCCGTAAGGTGATAGGAACTTGTAGATGAAGAAACTGAAGTGACGGAAACAAAAGAGAGAGTATGAATGAATGAATGAATCATTGAAAGTTTTGTATTAATAGGTGAAGTGTTGGGCCCGTAAGGTGATAGGAACTTGTAGGTGAAGAAACTGAAGTGACGGAAACAAATGAGAGAGTATGAATGAATGAATGAATGAATGAAAGTTTTGTATTAATAGGTGAAGTATGCTCGTGAATGAAAAGTTTCTCTCCTGTAAAGGCTAGCAAGACATTGTGACCTCCCAAGGATTGCCAAGAGACCACGTAGAGAATTGGGTAATGTCATTCTCTTTTCTTTTCTTTTTGGTTCCCCATTAAATGCTTATAAATTAATAAGCTTTTGACTATAAAGCTGAAACCAGAATCTTACATTATTAAAAAAAATAATTGATAGACAACCATTAAGCCAAGTTTATGTACAGGATTTTACATGTATATAAAGCCCATCTACCTTGAATCACATAATAAAGCTACCCTTTCTCATCCTTAAATCCTCTGTTTATTTTATTTTTATTTTTTTGGTTTTAAGAATGGATTTTAAGGCCTTTGAATAGAAATATCAAGCCTCCATTTGAATGTGTTCTTGAAAAGGTCTATACCATTGGATTATATATAGAAATGAGATGAGAGAGTTAAGCACACAACTCTTGAGTAATTAAAACAAAAACAAAAAATTCAAGAATTCACTGTATATATATTCTGGATTTACATGGTAAAATCATCATTTTATTCTTTTTATACAAACCATATAACTAGGGTTAAGGGGTAATACGATCCTTTTTATGTAATTCAATTATTTAGGAATATATAAGTCATTTCATATTTTTATTGCATAATAAAATTATTAAATAGACTTTAAAAACAAAAAAAAAATCATTTAACTTTTCTACAGGGCTTTTTCAAAATTTTATTTTAATTTAATTTAAAAATCAAGTGGCATTATTGTTTTTGGGAATTCGACGACAATTAAATTCCTATCTCTTTTCTCTCTCCTATCTTGAATAAACATTAATGTATATGCACATTAAGATGAGTTAATGTATAGAAGATGTAAGAGATGAGCTAATGTATAGAAGATGTAAGAATGATAAATAAATTATCATTTAATTTTATGATAACTAGAAATCCTAACTAGTTTTAAGAGGTTTTAAGTAAGAAATTTTTTTGTATAATAAAAAAGATAAAAATTACCCTGAACATCCTAAAATAAACTGTATTATTATTTATCTTCAATGATAAATCTTCTTGCCAAGATAGAGAGAATGTTTTTTTGTATTTGATTTCTTTTAATTAAAAAATATTTTTTATTTTTATTTTTTTCAAAGTAACTTTTTTTATGATTTTGAATTGCTTTAATGTGTTAATATCATAAAAATAATAATTATTGAGCCATTAATTGTCTACCAACCAAAAACCATTAATTAAACTTAGTTAAATAACTCTTAAAACCCATAAAAAAATCCAATGGTTATAAAAAAAAAAAACAAAAACTAGTTCAAAATCTTCTTAAAAATCTAGATTTACTTTTAGTACTAAGATTCAACCTATTTTTCATCAAAATTTTAAAAATTTATAATAATATTAAAAAAAAATTAAAATTTTTTTAATATATTTTTAAATAAAAAATAATTTTTTAAATAAAAAATAATTTTCGATAAACTCTCGAATATCCTTGGTATGCTATTTCATTAAACACATTATTCATAAAAAAAAATAATTATTTTTTCATAGTTGTTAAATTCAGTTCTACCAAAAATATCCTATTCAACTTTTTAGTTGAAGCTTACAAAATATTAACATGATAAAATTCATGAGTGAGCAGTTTCTCCACTTCGAAAGCATATTTTAGTTCTCTAGGAACAAGGGTTTTTCAAGAGAAATTGAGCTACCAGATGATGTGAAGCTGGATAAAATCAAACTTAAGTTGAAAATGGTGCTCTCACAATTATTATGCAAGGATACCAAGCCCAAACCCATCTAGAGTCAGGAACATCAATATCACTAGCAAGCTTTGAAATGAATAAATCTAGAGTTCAATATGTTCTGGGATTGGCTTAAGAATCTGTATGAACAAATAATTGGAAGTGTGCTGTCTTTTCTCTGCCGTGCACTGTGTTGTCCTAATTCAACTTTCCCTATCCTGTATGATGAAGGCATTGTCTTCAAATTTCAGCAGCACAAACATAAAAAGTATCAAGCTTTAATGGGGATTATCTCCTGTTTATGCTTAAAAAGGCGAGAAGGTTGAAAATGCATTCTCTGCTCCTCAAACCCAAAGAAAATTTCTCTTCCAGCTCTCGTCTTTTTCCTTCTTTTTTTTAAATAATGAACACCAGCATTAGTCTAAAGTCCAAAGAAAGAAAAGTCCAAGTCCCCATTAATGCCTCACACAAAAATGAGACATCTGCCTCCTTCGGTCTGTCAAGCAGAAAAACTGAGAGGGTTCTCTTCTTTCTTGAAAGTGAGATGTGTGTGATGCCTGATGACTCTTGCTAGCAGGTCACCATGGTCTCTTGACTGATTGATGCTCATGTATTTCTGGTGCTTTGCATCATTCTTTTTGCCAGCTGATTGCCCTAACAATAGTTCAATGCAATACAAGAGCAAAATATTCAGGTGATGTGGACTTGTGCATGAAAAGTAGTTCTTTAGATGAAGGGATCACTCCACTAGCAATCAGAAAGGCTTAAATGATCAAGCAGACATTTTGTGCACAAAGAAAAAATTTGATCAGCTATGCAGACGTTAGATAATTGACTTATGAATAAAATTGCTATGTATTCTCAAACACGAAAGATTGTCTCAAAGTTTCGACAGGCACCGCGACTACCATAATCCAATTCGCCACTGCTACTGTTATCTCTTGGCTTAGACACCAAATCACATATATTGTTAGGTGTCCCGTCACAAGTATTATGAAATATAACTCTACCACCATTCATGAGTAGAACAAGCTTAGACTCTTCTTCCTTTTCAGTGCGAAGAACCCTAAACACTGAGAGCGCGCAAGGATTTTCTCTAGTGAAGATCCACATGGTATCTTACAAACCAACCAGAATGATTAGATGGCATCTCCAAGACATGGAATTGTGAAAAATTGGAGAGCTCATCGGCACCTGCCATGTTCAAATGGCCACGAGACTCCCCAAATTACT